TATATATATATATATATATATATATATATGTATGTATGAATGTATGTATATATATATATATATATATCGAACATGGAACATGCATACAAGCCAAGTCAGAAAGTCAACTTTTTTTCTAAAGTGCTTTATACAATATAGATTGCTTCACAGCAGCTTCAAAATAGTATCAAATCCACATTCTGCTATAAAGCAGCTCTAACAAGTCAATAGAGTCATTTAACTGTGTAAAATTCCTATGCCTTAACTTCATGGCTATGGTGGCTGTGGCAGCAGCTGATTTCAATGACAATGACACCTACGAAGCTTTCTATATGCAAGGCGAGGAATGGATAACGATCCGACTGACAAAAAGACTGTTTGGCAAGGTAGCAACAGTTAAGAACATACCAAGTAATCTTACATGCTATAGTAGATTTACAGGAACTCATCCTTTAGGGAAAATACCAAAGCGTAAATGCAGTGTGATCTACGAAAAGAATGACACTACTCTTGCCACACGTTGTCTCAAATGCTTACAAAGGGGCATCAGGGTTGCTGGGTATCCGCATCATTCTGCAATAGCTAGACAATTCGTGTCTTACAGTCAGGGCACACGTACTAAATGTGAAGCTGCTTGTGCAATTGTGCATATACCAGATGAACAGGGCACAGGAGTCGTAGAAAATGCCTATTGGCAGTGTGGGTATGAAATATATGTGTCTTTGCCTAGAAACTGGACAGGAACATGTGCTCTAATTCAACTGCATGGTGGAACAATCATTCTACCCCATGAACCACGTGAATTTATGAGAAGAAATAAAAGGGGACTGCTTAACATTGTGCAAGACAGCCCAGTGCCAAAAACCATCACATCTGGACCATCGCTGCGAAATTGCTGTCTTTTTTTGTACCTGGAATAGGTGTTGCATCATCATCACTGTAACTTCCACTACTAGTAGTTTCTCCATCATCCATTTTCTCTTCACCCATGTCTAAAAACATGTTTTCAGGATAAACAGTCATTTTAACCATTTGATGTGACATACCAGACTTCATCAGTCTCTGTACTGAGCTGGATACAAACTGAAAAATGCAGGGTAGGCACAATAACAACAATAATCCTGCCCCCACAATTGGTAACACAGTATTCAGCAACCAGTATCCCCATCCTCCCCACAGGTTTGCTAACCATTCAAGCCATGTATTATTGGTTCGTTCAGGCTCTTTTACGGCCATTCTCATGTGAGCGATGATGTTGGTAACGTTTTCGCTGTAATCTGGAATATGGAAGCAACATGACGTACCTAGCATTTTACAGACTCCCCCTCGTTCTGATGTAAGCATATCGAGTACCAATCTGTTCTGAATGACTGCGTCCCTAATTTGTTTCATCTCATCATTAACCATTGTCAGTGCATTCTCAGTGCTATTGGCTATGGCTAACACAGTCCATGCTAACCCATTTATCTTATTTATACTCACAGCAGTTCCCACCCCCAGGAAAACTGACCACCCTATGTTAGCCCCAGGAGTTGTCCAAGGATTAGATAACACATACCCATTGTACCTTTCTGGCAGAGTCCCCGGTAAAATGTCAACATTCCTTTTCTTTCTACTCTCTCCCTTGGGTTCACTGCTTGGTAAATACACAGATGTCCCTACATTCATTAATGCTGGATAACAACATCCTGACCATCCTTTTCCTGGCAGATGATGAAATGCTCTGTCTCCACACACCCATACTGCTGCAGGAGACGTGTCGCTCGGCCTGCTGAATGGACATGTGAAGTTTGTCGCCGTCCCATCGATCATCGCCGTGCAGTTGTTTGCTGTTCCATTCTTCATTTCAATCCTGATCCTGCAGTCAGACCATCCTGCCTTCAGCTTCAATCTCGGTTTTGTCAAGCAGACGCACACATCCCCCTGCGTGTGTATTACTCTCAGTGGTGGAATCATCATTTCTGGTTTGTCGTCCCACTGTGTCTTTTTGCAGTCAAGCTCAGGCCTCTTCCTTGGTACCCTCCCTCTCTGTATATCATCCGCAGCCATCAATATCTCAGTCATTTGTTGCGGTATCAGACATCTGGTTTCTGTTAAAGTTGCTACAGTCAATGGGGCCGCTTTCCACGAGTGGGACATTTGCAGACATAACCAGCAACTCGTGTTTATCTCCAACTCCCTTTTCTGCAGCACCGCCAGGGTGCACGCTTTGTTCCCTTGGCACTTTGTCATGGCCCTTCGTACTTCAGGATTCACTCCCCCTCTCCCTGCTCCTCCATCTCCCATCCATGCTATCTCCTCCGTTGTGGCTGGTTGAAAGGCAGGTTCAACGAGGGGTTTCGCTGGCCCTGCAGCTGGTTTTCCCACAATAATACTAAAAGTCTCATACCAGTCGTCCCCTGTCTTGTCAATACCACAATAGTACTTGCCTTGGTCTGAAGCTCTCACCCGTATTATTGTGACTGTCATGCCGTCTCCGTTGTAGCCTCGCTTATTCCTCTTCTCCACCTTAAATCTCTCATCCACTCCATAGTATGCAGGTTGATCATACGCTTTCACTTCACTCCATTTACATGAGTCTCTGCAAAAATAAACGTGCGCATAGTCAGCATTGTTTACTCCACCATATCCAGGTTTTCCGCAGTACGGGCAGTTCTTCACATATGGGTTGCAGTCGAACTTTACGCTGGATCCTTCCGTTACCGTGACTATGTTTTCATCCATCCCTTTCGTTGGTATCACCATTGTCAATGTTGATCTCTTTATGCGTCTATGGTCAGTACCATTGGATGAAAAGTTCACAGTCATGTCGGCCCATCCTCCCGTTTCTTGTATCAACTCTGCAGTCAGGTAGAAAGTGATCGAACAAATAATCGTACCCAGCACAGTCAATATGCATGTTGTACCTCTTATTCCACACAGTCCGTGCAGTCTGAATGGGTGCCACGGCTTCACTTGCTCCATTCCCTCGGCTGGCAGTATTGCCTTCACAGTTGCTTTGCCCAGGAAGTATGAGGTAGACTGGCTGGGGGATACGCTGTGAATCCGGTTTCTTCTATCTTTTTCTTCTGAATCCTTTCTCAGTTCCTGTTGGTTCACTGTGCCCGCTGTTTGTGGTTGAATAATGAGCTTCAACTTGCACACAGGCTGCCTCGGCATTTGTTTTTCAGCTCTGACCTTCCTCTTACTCTGATAAGGTCGCTTGATGTTTATACAGGTTTCCGGCCCTTGTTGACATCTGCTTCAGATCTCTTGTAACTTCCACTACTAGTAGTTTCTCCATCATCCATTTTCTCTTCACCCATGTCTAAAAACATGTTCTCAGGATAAACAGTCATTTTAACCATTTGATGTGACATACCAGACTTCATCAGTCTCTGTACTGAGCTGGATACAAACTGAAAAATGCAAGGTAGACACAATAACAGCAATAATCCTGCCCCCACGATTGGCAATACAGTATTAAACAACTAGTACCCCCATCCTCCCCACAGATTTGCTAACAATACAAGCCATACATTGTTGGTTCGTTCAGGCTCTTTTACGGCCATTCTCATGTGAGTGATGATGTTGGTAACATGTTCACTGTAATCTGGAATGTGGAAATAAAGGCACTCGGTGTTTAAACAGGATCCTGGCATTTGTTGACATGTGTCTCAGATCTCTTACTCCCTCCACTCCTCCTGAGATGCAGATGGAACTTTTCTGCAGTGACTGGCATGAATCCACGTTGCCCTCTCAGCTACTTTCACAGCCGTGTGGGTAGTTTAGGAGCACCTGGAACGGTCCCAGCCAGCTCTTGGCTCTCCAGCTTTTCCTTCTCAGATCTCGTACCACCACGAAATCACCTGGTGTTAGGTCGTGCAAGGGGGTTTCAGCAACTTTCCCCTGCGCAGCTTTCACCTGCACACAGACTTTAGACAACAGAGAAGACATTTCTTTGCAGTAACCCAACATGTCATGCTCGCACACCTCTGTTGATGGCAGCTGTTGTTTACCCCCTTTCATACCCATAAATGGTGGTCTACCAAAGAGAATTTCGTATGGGCTCAGGTTTACCCTAGATCGTTTTCTCATTCTTACATACATGAGAACAATCGGCAACGCCTTAACCCATGTGAGTCCAGTTTGGTTCACATCCTTTGATCAATCCCACGTCATATCTGTGCTTCGCCCACAGTTCGGATGGTATTTCTGCCAAAGCCGAATGTATGCCCGAAGCACAAACATTTGTCATGCAGTGATTTTCCCTTGCGTTTTTGTCAATGGGTACCACAACTCTCTCTACCCCAATTTCATGCTTGCACTCTGACATAAACGCTCCTAGGCTTTTGCTGTGTTTAACATCAGCGCTTATCTCACACCAGTCTGTAGCATCAACACAGCTTTTCACAAACAACCCTACCCCAGACCATGTTTGCTCTTTGGCCTTGGAGAGTGATAAGTGAGGCACAGACTCTCCTGCTATCAAGTAGCACTGAAGCTGTTTCTCTGTTAAGCAAACTGAAACTGCACACACATTTTCTGTCCAAAATATTTTTTTCAACACAAGTTTCTCCTTTTTCTCCCTCAAACCAGTCATTTTCATACTGGTTGTCTCGTTCCACTGCGACATGTGACGTGCAATGTAAATTGTCAGGCAACGTAAGTTCTCTGTTAAATGGCTTAGTTCGACTTTTAGCCAGCTCACACATCATTTCAGCCCAATCATGATTTATGATGTGCCATTCATAGGCCCGCTCTGCTTGCAGACAGCACAGTTGCTCTCTCTGCCACTCGGACACCCCAAGAGTCTGCAACCAGCGTAAAATTTAGCCTACACAATAAATCTCTACCCAGGAGGGGTACTGGACATGCTGGAGTGTAAATGAACGCATGTTTCAGAACCTCGCCCCCCTCTGTTTCACAATTTAAGGGCACTGTGAATCTCTCACAAATCGAATGCCCTGATGCAGAGATTGACTCATTTGTTTCGCCTGATAATAACGGTTGACATGGCAAGTCACATGGTCGTACAGATGACCTTGAAGCCCCAGAATCTGCTAAAAACTCAATCAATATCCCCTCCACTAGCATGGGGTATTTAGGCATTTTCATAAAAGTTTCACTTTTGTACATCTTTACACATTTATCAGAATTGTCATTACTCAAATCAGAAATACATAAAGAAATGCAAGCTTTTTCTTCATTGCAGACAGCAGAATGTAAATCAGTGTGTGTTTGTGTGTGGTTAAAAAAAATGTCACTTCCCTGACTTGTGGCTGTTGGCTGCTCTCCCTGGACCCCTCCTCCCTGCTCTCCGTTCTTGATTTTGCTGGTTTTCTGGGCACTCCCTGGCCCAATGACCATCCTTCTTGCACAGTCTGCATTTGGTGCACTTTCTGGTCGTATGATCATCAGTCTCGCAGATCCAACAACCCCATCTCTCAGAATTTCCTTCAGTCCCCTTCGTGTAGTTTCCTCCTCGTCTTTTCCCCCCTCCTGCTTGCTGATTTCGCTGCACAGAAGAGCCCCCAGGCCTCGATACGACTTGCAACAAGGCCAGCTGCCATTCTTTGTCCGTCTTGGCTTTAGTCCTTTCCTTCTTCGCTGTCTGCAGCTCTTCCGCGTGCAAAGCATGTGCTAAAACAGCAGATAATCGTCCACTTTTCCATTCAATGTAGCTGGTTTTGACTGCGTGCGCAATCTCAGGTCTCAGTCCATTCAGAAACCAGCTTCGCAGATGACACTCCCATGTGTCAGGTTGATTTTCTCGTTCCTCTGGCTCAGTTAATCCGCTGTGTTTATTAAAAATCAAATACAGACGGTTGTAATAGTCTTGCACAGACTCCTCTCTGCTCTGGCAGCAGTTGCCAATCTTCGCTGTGTCCACGCGCGCTGGGAATGCTATTTTTATAGCTTCAGCCAGCTCCTCAACAGCTGTCCGGTAGTCCACGTTAGCTCGGTGTTCCCATTCACCGTGTTCTCTTCGACAATCTTCTTTTTGCAGCTTTCCGCTCACTTTATGCCAGCTCGTAGCCCCCAGTTTCACTGCCAGCAGCCTTCTCAGTTCATGCACGGTGGGGCTGAATTCTTGGCAGAAGGTGACTAACTCTGTGGAAAATTTGTCACCTGCTTCATCACTAGCATGGGGTAGGCATGCATCGACATAAAAGCTTCACTTTTGTACATCCTTACACATTTATCAGAATTTTCATTACTCAAATCAGAAATACATAAAGAAATGCAAGCTTTTTCTTCGTTGCAGAGAGCAGAATGTAAATCAGTGTATGTGTGTGTGTGTGTGGTTAAAAAATTTTCTCTTCCCTGACTTGTGGCCGTTGACTGCTCGCCCTGGACCCCTCCTCCCTGCTCTCCGTCTTCCTCACTTCAGTCTGCTTCTTGATTTTGCTGGCGTGGTGGTGGGTGTTTAGAGACAGAAACATCAGAGCGGTTAGTAGGTCTATGTGATACAATTACTTCTTCACATTTTTCATTTTTCTTCTCCTCCTTTCTACCTGCTAATTCTTTCTGCATTGCTCTTCTTTCTCTCTTATCTGCTTCCTTTATCCAACAATTCACTGTCTGCTCACATTTCTCACACATATGTTTCACACAACACCCTCTTTGTTTTTTGCTATCTCCCTCTTCCACCGATTCCCTTACAACATTCAGTCTTTTGACACTCAGTGTTCCCTCTTCTGGAAAACCATGATACCTAATTAATTTCCCCATATCTTGCATACATTTCTGGCCATATAATTTTTTCATTTGACAAAAAACCGGTGTATCATATTTAGCGAGCTTGCTCTGGGACTTCCCCATATTGGCTGTTTCTTTCTCTGTGGATTTATTTTCGGCGCCGAAATAATCTGCTGGACGTCTGGTCAATCACAACGCACTGGATAGCTGGCTAATCAGAGCACACCTCGCTTTTCAGACCGATTAGTTTTGTAAAAATCGACGCGTTTCAGAAAGGCGGGGCATAGAGGAGAAACAATAATGTACAGTATGTGGAAAATAATGTGTTTTTTTTACTTTAAACCGCATAAACACATTTCATTACACCAAATACACAAAATAATGTTCTTTTTAGCAGCATCATATGACCCCTTTAACATAGAAAATCCTATAGGACCCCCTGGGGCACAGTAGAGGAACTACACACAAAAAAAACAACAACATAGTAACCGTACTATGGTCGGTTACAATATATATATAGCAGTCAACATTTGAAGTGGATCAAAACCTTTCATCAAAGTTGTCCTAAAACTTAAAACCAAAATGCTTTCTTGTCTTAGGACAACTTTGATTAAAGTGTCACATGATCCTTAAGAAATCATTCTAATATGCTGATTTATTATTAGAATTCTCAATGTTAGCAACAGTTGTGCTGCCAAATATTTATTTGGAAACTGCGATACTTTTTTCAGCTGAAGACTGGAGTAATGATGCTGAAAATTCAGCTTTGCATCACAGGAATAAATTAGATTTTAATGTATATTAAAATTGAAAAATTTTATTTTACATCGTAATAATATTTCACAGTATTAACTTTTTTCCCTGTATTTTTGATCAAATAAATTCAGCCTTGATGAATATAAGAAACTCCTTTAAAAAACATTTAAAATCGTTCTGATCCCACAATTTTGAGCGGTAGTATGTATGTATATATATATATATATATATAT